GAAGATCTCATCTGTTCGCTATTTTCTCGTTGGTTTTCTGAACGATATTTGCTTTTGCTTACAACTTTTGGTACGAAGACCTGTTAATTTTAAGAACGGTTTTTTGAAACATCAAAGTTAGGCGTAGTAGATACATTATGTATAGTCGTAGGACAAGACGCTGTAGTATTATGAGAAGAAACACGAATAAGCAAAGAAAACAAATAACAAGGAAAAAAATATAAAAAATTATCTGAGAGGAACAATAAGTATGAAGAAGAAAGAGAAAATGGGAAAACAATTAAGGGTGCTAGTATAGTATGATATCTACCGAGGCATTTGCGACCTACCGTAAATGACGATACACTCTACCAAACAACTCACTTCCGGCCTACAGTTATTAATTCCTACATACAGTGTTATTTTAAACTAAAGAGTCACGTAGTTATCTAATTTCGATTAATAAAGGAGGTAATTATGAAAATCCATTAAAAAAATAATCAAGCTTACGTCAGATAAAATAACCACAATTGAAGATGAAGCGATGTCTTTTTTAAGAGTTAGGGTAGGGGTTAGGTTTTTAAGAGTTTTAAAATATTTCCTACTTCCAACTGTTGGTAGATATCATACCATAGTAGAAAATGAATGGTAAATATCATCCTATAGCAGCACCCAATTAAGAAAATAAATCAAAACAAGAGGGAAATAGAGAATCCTCAGGACGGAAAGGACAAATGCGGAGAAGAAAAGAAGTTCAAGGAAAATGCAAGTCGGAATGACCAGATAAAAAGTAAGCGAAATATTAGGTTGGTGCAAAAATAATGACGTAATAATGTCGTTTTTTGACGTTAAAAAATACGTCAAAAACGACATTATTCGTCATTATTTTTGCACCAACCTAATAAAAAAAGAAAAGAACGAAATAGAAATGCAATGGGATAATCTTTAGATAACACAAAGAATGGCGGTCAAGATAACAATAAGGAAGAATAAAAGGGTGATGACTGTTACTACTACTACTACTAATAATAATAATAATAATGGCCACTCGTATCCAATCCCTACTGCAAACTCCTGCTCAGGCATATTTGTGTTTGTTCAACACAGAACCCGCCGGTGGTTTATACTTCAACTAAGTGGAGCATACCTTTGTCACTGTTTCGCGCATTATCTGGCGTAAGCAAGAGTCTGAACAAGGCCAGTAGGCTCAGACACTCGGTCACGATGGCTTGTAACTAGGACAAACCACCGACAGCGCGAAATAGTTCGGTCGACCCAGTTAAACTTACGAGGCTTTGGTTTCGGTGGTTTTGTTTTTCAGGGACTTTCCAAATGTGCAGCACGCTGGAGGTGTTTACACATATTTTTCTTGATGAATTAATATATCTTATTAACAAACACTATAAAATGGCGTTTAAAATGACAAGTACAATTTTTTTGTGGATGCCATAATCCAATATAACCATGAAGTATTGCACAAAAACGATGCATTACAATGGTAGATAAAGAAGGAAAATCATGCAGCTCTCAACTATATATATATATATATATATATATATATATATATATATATATGTGTGTGTGTGTAAATAAAAAGAAAGAACAGTAAGATATATAATCCGGTGTTCTTATAGATATTTTTATTTTTACAAAATAGTGCTCAATAATGAACACACAAACACCCCTTGTCTGGTTGAATGGATTTCTCTGTAACCTTAGAAACGTGAATTATGATTTTAGCTGTGTATTTAAAACCCAGTAATTTTAAAAGTTTCTCCCAAATTCGCTTGAGGATGAAATGAAACTAATGTCTTTAATTTAATTACAAAATTAAATTCGGAGCTTTCAGCTTCCATTTTTGAAAGATGGTTAGAACCGTGTAGCGAAAAAAACATATTTTAAATCAATTAATTTATAATATATATATATATATATATATATATGTGTGTGTGTGTGTGTGTGTATAATTGGAGATTGCAACGGCCGAAACAACGTGAATATGGCAATAAAGATGAGGACAACAGTCCGAACAATGTAAATAATTTAAATAATTATAATACCTCATCTCAGAAATATAGATATTGTTCTAGAGCTTCGAGATACCGCTCCTCGAGGATTTACCACTCGTTTGGGAGTGTGGATAGGGTCATTTTGGTTCCAGAACGGGTAGTGTCAGAGCAATTAGTCATGTACGCTTGGGATCTCATTAACATTATAACTTGTGATGCATTCTGTGAGTGCGTGCGTGGGTGCGGATAAATAATGGTACTCATTATCCAGTAATCATGTAGTAAAATGTCATCGAGTACTACCGACTACATAGTAGAATCTTCGAGGTTGGCTAGATATTTAGCAGAATTAGAAAAGACCTGTCAAATGTCGGATGAACCTTATTGCAGGGGTCAACGGCCATCTAGCACAGTGGGGTAGACTAGGCTCTTTAACGACGAAGGCAGCTAGTGCAGTGACGACTCGGCTTCGCTGAGCAGCGGAATTTCTAGACTGAAGTTAACGGTTAGGAGGTGTATACCCAGGAAAGAAGCTTAGGGCTGTGATTCGAATTCCTTCTGACATCTGCTTCAATTCTATACTCCTAACGTCTCCACATGAACTCTGAATTGTTTTTCATTAATTATTTTTCTCCTCCGCAATAGGAGTAGATAGGTTTGCCTATTGTCCGGTTCATACTCCTTCACGATTCTTTGGACAGGAGTAGAGGTTCATCCCTTGTTTCCTGTTTAGGGTTGGGATTTAGGTTCCTTTAACTCTGTACTTCTGACGTCTCCGCCTGAAATCTTAAAATTTATTCAGTAATTATTATTATTTTTCATTCCAAATAGGCGTAGATAGTTTTGTCTATCACCCCGTTCATACTCCTCCTGGGTCTTTTAACCAAAAGTAAAGGTTTATTCTTTGTTTCCTGTTTAGGGTTGTGTTTCTGGTTCCTTCCAAAGTCTTCTTGATTTCTATACTCCTAATGTCTCCACTTAAACTCTGAAATTTTATTCGTTAATTAAATTTTGACCTCTTCAAGTCTAGAATTAGCTGTCTATTTCCCCGTTATCTTGCCCTTTCTTATGCTAATACAACTCCATACAGTAACCCTCTACCTTGAGTGGCCCTTGGGCCTTGGACTGGGTGAATAATAGTAATAATAATCACATGAGATGTTTATGTAACGAGTAATGTGAAAAATAATGGAATGAATGTTACAATTTTTGGATACATTATGTAACTAGTGAGCTAGCCCAAATGACTTGACTCACTTTATAGTCCACCAATAGAAGGTTAACCAATCAGAAATCGTAGAACATTCAATCCGTCGTGTATAAAGGCGGCCATTTTGTTTATTCTACCCGAATGTCCAGTACCAGCTTGTTAGGCGAAGAGGAACAGAAGGAAGAACTACGCTCTGCTACTTTTACCAAAATATCCACTGCTAACCTGAACAACGCTTCCCTACTGTCTTCACTGCTAACCTCTGGATTCTATACTCGAAGACGACTGTCATCATGAACAACAATGAATCATCATCATAATCATCATCAGTCACATGGACGGATGTGTTTGTAGAGACGATGCGCAGCGGAGCATCTGACCAGTTCTCTGCACATATCTGGGTTTAAAGCCGGATAGGTATGGGGTCAAGTAGACCTTGTGGAGCCCATCCCTCTCTGCCGATGTCCTCCAGCTTGTAGACTCTCCTTGGTCACAGATACGTGGCTATTGATTCCATCGTAGAAACCCTCTACCTTGGCTAGGAAGCCCTCCGCCTATCCATGCCGTGCCATCGCCACACTAGTTGCATAGATAATTATGGAGCCCAGTCTACCCCCCCACCTCTGTGTTAAAAGGCCGTCGACACTTCAAGAATGTTCATCCGACCTGGTGGGAGAACCGGTTTAGTTACCGATGACCCAACTCATGCAGCAGACAGTATTGGGTTACATAGTACCAGTGACACTCATAGAGTAACTTCACTATATTTTCGATAGGGAAAGGTCAGTTTTTTATACGTTTCTTTGGAAGATTTAAGAATTTATTAACTGTTACAGTAGGGTGTAACAATAACTAAACTCACCATAATATCTATTATTTATATACATATTTTTTCAGATTATTTAAGAAATGATCTCGTCATCTTTATCACAGCGTTTCTGCTATTTTGCTTTCCGACCTTCTTCAGGGGATTTTGAATGAATACCTTATTTAATCCACGGGATCAATTTTTCTCGTTCTGCTGGTTAGGTTGTTTGGTTGATTTTCTTTTATGACACATCAACCATTACAGTTTATTTAATACCGGTATCTAAATATTCTTTTAATAATAATAATGATAATTTTAGTGATACAAGTCTTACTAGTTAACCTATAGCTGGATGGGAGAAAAAAAAAAAAGGATTCATACCTTTCCCAAGGGCATTTTCGCGGAAGTGAATAGAACAAACCCACCTTGAATTGGAACTCTGCTCACCGATTAACACCGTCCTGTGTATGACGATAAACTACATCCGTGTCCTGGGTAAGATGATAAACTACGTCCAACAGCAAGGCCTTTGATCAGGAGGTTTTGAGGAGCGTGGAACCGCCTCTTAATTGCTGGTGTTCCCAGGTTCATCCTGACCCGGGGTGGTAGCACCTGTTAGGGTGCCAGCTATGGGCAAATAGTTAACACCCAAACGTGTGTAAAAATAGGTTTTAATACTAGAAATACTTTGTAATAATAATAAAAAATTACCAGCAATAATTTTTGAAGGAAAACTTATCAGCAATTCTTAAAAAAAAAATACCAGCAATACAAACAGCTATACATTTATTGAAAAAAAATATTACCAGCTATAGATTTCTTCAAGGAAAATATTACCAGAAACAGATTTTTGAAGAAAAAACATATCGCTAGCAATAAACATTTTGTCGGCATTAAATAACCCATTGAGGTGTTGATATGCCGTAAAACAAAATAACGCAAACCGATTAACAATTCCGTGCCATTACTTATTACATCAGCCGAACATCTAAGTTGACAGCACCTGGTATTCCCAAGCAGTTACCCATCTAAGTACTGATCGGGATCAACGTTGCTTAACTTCGGTGTTTAAGCGCGAGTGGCTGCAAGCTCCGCTGTTTGCTTCTGCTTTAAGTCTTTTTAGTACATCTCAGTTATTGCTCGCCTTGTTTCCAGTTAACATGTTTCTGTACTACTCGTCCTTGGGATTGAACTCACAATAACTATGTCACCAAATTCGCGAAACAAGGTTTTATCCACTAGGGTAACTTTTTTTAAAAATCTCGCTGGCAAGTTTCACAGGTATTTTGAAAAAGAAGATGTTGCTGTTTTTTAATCGGTTTTCCTCAAGGAAGGTGATAATCCCCCCTAGAAGTGATAATCCCAGGGAATTACAGGGAGTGAAACCGAAAAAGAATAAGACTGAGAATGAAGAGGATTAAAGAAAGGACAAAAAAATTAGATAAAAGGATTAAAGAAAGGACAAAAAACAGGGACAGGGTACAAGAAGACGAAAGATGGCGATTGACGTTGCATTTCAATTTCTGAAGAATGTAGTTATCAGGGAATCAAGAAATTAGAACGGAGTTCCACAGGTGAGAAGTGCGAGAAAAGAAAAGGTGTTAGAATAAAGGTAACGGTTGCATCTATCTAGTTCAACAGTAAACAGTGAGACCTAGATGTCAAACTTGTCAGTTATGTACCATGCGTGATACACGCTTAGGCGATCATGTATCTTTCGATACATGACTGACGAGGCAGATTTTTTCTTGCAGTAGGTTGCCATTTCTTTCTGCTATAGACCAGTTTCCGTCCAAGGCTATAGAATCCGGTCTGTCCCATGGAGGGGGTAGGGAAGAAGAGAATTCATAATTTTCCAAGGGTATTAGCACATAAGTGAATGTAATGGATTTGAGTGGAATTCGAACTCGGCTCTCCGATTCCTCAACCCGAGCCGCTATTTATTACTCCACCTTGCACGAGTTTACATTAATGTCGTCGGGACACCAGGTAATAAAATAAAAAAAAGAAAATATGAAAAAAAAGAAAAAAAAGAAAAAAAATCTCATCAGAACAGATGCTATGAAAATATTTGTAAAAACGACTAAAGGAAGCCACGTCACGTTTTTGAGAAAGTGACTGAAGTCGAGATACCTACTCAGGATCGATAACAGAACCTCCTTTGTATTTTGTCAAGGATCTCGAGACGTGCAACAGACCAGATATGCTAATAAAAGAGACATCTTTTCTATAGTTTTCAGTAAACTACAGGGAGCACTACCGATTCCAGATAGGCAGGTATTTCAATTTACATACAGGTTGATAACTAATTTCACTTTGAACGGATGGAAGTAAATAAATGTATACATTTTTAATGTTTGCCCGAAGTCGTTGCTGTTAATTCTTCCTCTTATACTTGTAGATATGAATACATTTATGTCTTTGTATTAGTTTATATGAAACTCGCAGCTACTCTGCCATCTTCTGCGTTGCCAAGTCTAAATATATGTCCATATGTAAGTAATTATATTTAGGTGTCTGTTTCTAAGATGAAGTAGATGATGAACTTTTTGAAGGTGTGTGTGTGTGTGTGTAAGTGAGAGAGAGAGAGAGAGAGAGAGAGAGAAGGTAAAGGAATAAGAACCAATGAAGAAGCAAGACGTAGTCACTTGAAGCTTAGGAAAGAGTAAGTGGGTGAGGATACATTGTCTCTTGTGTATATGGGCCAATGATTTGTGTGTGTTTGTAGATAGAAGGAAAATAAAATTTTAGGGCGTGGGCGTACACCTGCCTCGGTGTACAGGATAGAGAAAGAAGATATGAAAAGGAGAGAGACAGGCGGGAGTTTCAGATGAAGACGATGCGGATAACGTAGCGAAAGGAAGGAAGGAAAGGAAAAGAATAGAAAGATGGGGAAAAATAGCAAATAAAAGTAATGAAACTTAAAGAGACGATCAGAAAAGGCCTGGAGATCAAGAAAAAAGACAACAAAACAAAAGAATTCAGTGACGAGAACAATTAAAGTCGGATTATTTGCTAAATGTAACTTGGTTTGGCACAAGATCGCAAATGGGGTACCCAGTGAGCATCGAACGCACTTGTATTGATCTATTAGACAAAGCTTGTCATTACCCAAGGAGAATGTGGCCTTATTAAAATATCGTCGACACAGTGAGGATCGAACTCACTACTCAGTGGTAATTGTGCACCAGACTATATCGATAAACTTTTTCCCAGGGCTAGGTAATCAAAATTCAAGTGATGGTGAATGAAAAGAAAGAAAGAAAGAAAAAAGAATGAAAAATAAAGAAAGACAGAATTAAATATTTAGGTAGAGCGAATAGCAAACAAAAAGGTACGGTAACGAGAAAGAAAGAAAGAAAAAAAGAAAGAAAGAAAGGTAGAAAACCTATGGTAAAGAGAAATAAACAAAATTAGAAGCTGCTGAGAAAAGAAAGAAAGAAAGAAAGAAAGAAAGAAAGAACGAAAAAAAAGAAAGAAAGAATTAAATATTTAGAGCGAATAGGAAATAAAAAAGTAAGGGAACAAGAAAGAAAGAAAGAAAGAAAGAAACAAACAAACAAACAAACAAACAAACAAAGAAAAAAAGAGGAAGGAAAAACTATGGTAAACAGAATGAGAAAAATTAGAAACTTTAGCTAGAGAGAATAGCAAACAAAAAAGTAAGGTAATAAGAAAGAAAGAAAAAGAAAGGAAAAAAGAAAAGAAAGAAAGAAGGAAAGAAAGAAGGAAAGACTATGGTAAAGAGAAATGAATAAAATTAGAAGCTGCCGGGAGAAGAAAGAAAGAAAGAAAGAAAGAAAGAAAGAAAGAAAGAAAGAAGAAAAATCTAATGTAACAAGAAAAGAAGGAAAAGAAAGCTAAACCACTGAGAAAAGAAAGAAATAAAAAACAAAGAAACGATAAAGGGAAGAAAAAAACAAGCAAAAATAAGATAGTGAAAAATAAATAAATAAATAAATAAAGATAGCAAAACGAAGATAGGAAGTTAAGAATGAAAGAAAAGTGGATGGTAAGCGGAGAAAAAGATTACAACTGTGTTCAACTATTAAAATAGAAAAAAATTGAAGAAACAAATATACAGACGAAAGAAAAGAAAGAAGTAACATACATGAACAGAGTTAGAAAGAATGAGTGAAAGATAAAGAAAGAGAGAGAGAGAGAGAAAGAGAGAGAGAGAGTGAGAAAAGAAACAACAAGAATACAAAGTAGAGTATCAAAGGAAAAGCTTTAGAGAAAATAGAAGTAATAGAAAATTTATAAATAACAAAAAAGAAAAGAAATGCGAAGCTAAAAGAAACTCGCAAAAAAAAAAAAAAATGGCGAGATAATACATAGAGAATGAAGAACAAGAAAGATAACTCTTGGAAAACTGATTTCAAAACAAAAATGGCGGATGCAAATGTTAATTATAGACAAAAAAGAAGCAAAAACAAGAAAGAAAATACAAAAACAAAAGCCAGATAGATAGATAGATAGATAGATCATGGAAAGCGTAAATCTACTTAGGTAAGTAGATAGCTGAAAAGAAAGTGAGTGAGCCAAAGAAGTTGGGAGAGAGAAACTGATAAAAGTAGAGGTATTTCGCAATAAGAAGGAAACAACATAACTTCGTTCGTGGGTGTTGAACAT